AGAAAGAAATTATTATGAAACCTCTAGTATATCATTACCAAACTACATAATTACATTACATAATATATGGATTATGGGCCCTAATTCTCCTGTTATTTATGGCCAAGGTTTCTCTATTAACCAAAGTCCAACTTTTCTCCCTCTATCATCTATTCTATTTATTATAGCATCCATGGGTAAAGAGCATTCCATTTATTTCCATCCCCGCTCCCAATTCAATCAAACTCCAAAAACAACCTTGGTATAACAAATGCAATTTGGCCAAGAACAACCGCTAGATGAATCACTCCCGAGTATCTCAACTACAGTAGCCATGACATTGGGTATTCTATTCTAATCCTTTTGATGTTTGACACTGATGGGTGAGGTGTGCTACCTGTGAATTATTAGCATCCATCATCACGGTCCATACCCATCGCCCTTGATGACCTTGACAAAGACCTGGGACCCGTTTCACAAAGCCATTTTCAATGACAAATGAAAAAAATCAGTGATAAATCTGCTGATGACCAATTAGAAGCAAGGATTTCAGTAGCTTATAACAAAAACTGTCCTTTGTCACTGATGACAAGTTTTGTGAAACACCCCCCTGGACAAAAACAACCTGTTCATGGACTGGATACAGGTGACTTGATCTAATCAGGGATGCTGTTATGTCTCTGATCATTTCACGGAACTGTTCAGTTAGCAGCTCAATGGGAGATGTATCTGGTATGTAGAGGTGTACGTCATACGGTCATGGTCAAGTAGACACATCTCCGAATAGTGTTGATCAACAGTTTGCAGCAGAGTCCCGGTCCTTGCACTTGTGGCCTTTGGCAAGGCCGCTATCTTCATTTACCCCTTTCAATTACCCAGGTGAGGAAAATGGGTATCTGGAAGGGTAAAAATAAGTTCTGAGTCCATGACCTCACAGATACAAGGTCATTGTTCTTCCTCTTAGCATAGCCATCGCAACTCTGCAATGCATACATTCTTATTTCCTCACTAAATCAATACCTAGCCAATCAGGTGTTGATTTAAGGGTCTGTTATGGAAAGAACTTGATGAAAATGTTTTTGCATTGCGTGTACAGGGGTAGGGGAATTAACCATGCAGAGTCTTCCAAATGCTTGAAATCCATGGAATGGAAATAACTTCCTACGATTAACACTGGTCCTGTAGCAGAAATATTGCTTTAGATATAAATGTCTATCCAATAAACCTGTTGATTACCATTGAAGATCCACATTTGGATCAAACTACAAACTGTTTATGCTAGATTAATTGGAAATAATATTGTCTCAATTATATCAGACACAATTCGTTAAATTATAATCTCTTAAATACTCAAATGGAAGAAATTTTTCTACAGATAGACCAATGGATCTTCAAACAACCTGTAATATCATTTGACCCTTACAATGTAGCTCATCTTGAAAGTATGCATTGCATCATACAGTTTACTTTAAAAATGACTCAAGTTGACAGACTTCAGGAAGTCTTTTGTGTCTTATTGTGCGACAACTTATCTGTAATAACCCTTTATTGCGACAATACATCACACAGTTGATCTTTTAAATTACATAAGTTGACTGACTTTTGGCACAACTTCTTTTGTGTCTTTTCGGTGCCGCACTTTAGTAAATGCCTTTTATAGCAATCGTTCACTTCCCTAATCACTTGATGTTCTTAAGAGATAATTGGATTTATGGAGGTGTAAACGGCCCACCCTTTGTTACATGTAGTCACTAGTCTATAGACTATAGTCTCAAAGGTGTCAGCAAGATTTATTGGTCGTATTTGTACACATATTCTTATTTTCTGTCTCAAATTTATGTTTTTTTAATTTTTTACTCCTCCACAGTTGCTATAAAAGGCATTTACTTGTAAGTGCGGCACCAAAAAGACACAAAAGAAGTCAGTCAGTAATTTTACATTCTTTCCTTCTGTATTCAAAGTTATCCCCTCATTCCAAATATAATGCCTTTTAGCCTACTGTTCTCCTTGTACTGGACCTAATGTTTTCCTCCTTCTCTTGTACCTCCTGTCTCTAGTTCCTTCTGCCAATCACCTCGCTCACTTCATTGACATTTATAGCTGGTAAACATGTGTAACTTAAGCTATTACAATGCCTTTAAATATTCATGAAACACTTTTCAACTTTTTAGAATTGTTAATTTGCACATGATATTTTTTTTCCGTATGAAATAGCTCCTAAATGAATGTAAATATTTTTGTTGGTTGTTTCACATGCTCTGATATGCAATCACCATGAATTCATTCACATAAAAATCTAAAGGAATTTTGATTTAAAATTATGGCGTAATTGTCCAGCTGGGGACGCATCAAATCTAGTTCCTAATGTAAATCCTCTAGTTGTTTGAGAACAGAAAGGGAATTTTTAAAAAACACAGCCATATCATATTTAAGTTTCAAAAGAATTACAATATATATCTAATTCATGATTCAGAACATTCACAGGTGGTAAGTGTCATTTCCCCCTGGCACCCCCATATATTGCCACTTACAAAAGGAAGGGGAAAAAGTCATACTCAAACATGAATTTGTAACACTTTGATGAAAGTCACAGTTTAATGATTGTCCTCATTTTTTGTAATAAGGGCAAAAAGTACAGATGAACCTGCTAGTAATAGCTCCTTCATTCTTATTTCAGCCCTCTTAGTCACAGCTCATTAGGTCTAACACGCAAACGGGACTGCTTCATACTGATCTCAAGCTTTCCTGACTAATAACCCTGTCACACCAACAAGATGGACAATAGTCAAAACAAAATATGACCAAAGTGCACTTTGTAGTCTCTACACAATGACAACCAAGCCCCCTCCCCCCTCCCCCTCCCCCCCCCCCCCCCCTCCCCCCCTCATACTGTCAGTATAAAAATCTGTTCAGCAAGTTCAAGATCAGATCCTAAACCAACTCATAACTGCTTAAGGGCCGACTTTATTGATAATTGACCTAAATAAAGCCAACAGTAACATGACGTCACCTCATGTGCTCATGATTTTTGTGATTATCGCTTGTTTGGGACCAGTTTTTCAGTGTGGCTGGGGTACTAGGACTAGCCTCTGAACAGGTGCCAAGTACGTTGCAGAGGAAGGGCAACCCAAGTAGCCACTTAATAAGTTAAATTGCTATTTCTGTAGGGATTCAAGGTTACATGCTTCTAGGAAATGGTGGGGGGACATCACAGAAGAACGAGTTCAACAAGATGACAAATCCGGACCTGACCAATCCGGACCATCGGCCATCAAGGAAAAGGTGGGAATTGCCATCATGATGATAGAAGAATGAGATGACCAATCTATGGCCGACAGCCCTCCAGGAAAGGCTAATAATTCTTCTGGAAACATTCTGTATCAAGTTTTGACTTTGATTTGTCTGTTCAGCGCTAGAAGGTCATTAATGCTGTTGAAGGATAAAGAGTTAACACCCCTCTGGCTCTGAACAGATGATAAGTTAAATATTATACTTAGCTGTGAAGGTATCATAGCGTATTGCCTGCTGAGAGCCAGAAGGGCATTAACTCTGCATGTAAATATACATCAAGGTGGACTTAGTAAATTGATACAATGAACACACAGAGACTAATATTACTCACAAGGATATCAAAATATCTTAAGAAATAGGTCAATATCATGGACATCACAAAGAATATAGATATACATAGAAATGGTCGACTTAATGAACATTTAAATATACACTTAGCACACGTATATAGGGGTCGACTTAATGAACAGTTAAATATATACTTAACATATATATATATAGTTTTCAACATGCAATTCACATTAAATAAGCAGTACATTTATGTGTATTTTTTTAACAGTGTTAACAGTGCAAACAGTGCAAACAGTGAGGCATAGCAATTTGTTAGAAATGACATGAAATATAAAGTGTTCGTTAAATTACAACAGCCACTGGTTAATTGATTTGTTTGTTAGTAATAAATAATAAGTTTGGTGTTAATGAACAGATTAAAACGACTTCTGGGAATACAGGTGATGGCTAATGACTAATAAACTCCCTGCCTGCTTACACTGACCCACAGCTATTGCATAATATCTAGCCATTTTAAAGAGCATTCTACACTGGTTAATGCTTACAGGAACTGTCATAAAAGGTCATACACTTCCATAATAGTGAATTTATGTGTCTAATTTGGGGAGATATACAAGTAACGGATAAGATTAATGGACACTTCAAAAAGTTTTCATGTGCCACAGGCCCAAGAAAAATGGTAAGGTGCAATCTTTTTAGAATTCAGTTATTGTTAGGTTATTCTTCATCTGTCTTCTTGCATTAGGTTCTACAAGATTCATGCAATACAAGTGTTCAGTTTCTCCAAAATTAATGTGCATGGGTTGTGTGGGCGAGTACAGAAGCTTATGCTACATAGGCACCAACAAGGAAAGTATGCCTTAGAGGGATTCATTAGTAATTTTACATTTGCATGAATTTCTGCAACTACAACAAAAAACTCCCTAGCTTTTTGTTTAATCAATCTATTCTGTGGCTTCTCCTTTAAAGCTAATACATTACACTAAAGCTGTTATGCAAATAGTACTGCACATTTCATATAAGTATCTTTTTTTTTTACTGCATTCCCTTATATAAAGCATGGGCCTTTTATACTCTAGAGTGCACAGAATTAACTTCAAAATATTGTTAAAGACTGTTGTTAATGCAATTTCTGCTACTTTGCTATTACTGCTTATGACCTGTGCATTTGACTCATCTCTTTGCTCACAAACATTTATCCCCCCCCCCCATAAAACATATGCCGATACATTCACCCTAGTTAAGATAAATACAAGTATTAAACGGTTCAACAGACATCTAACATACAGGACATTTTACTTTACTCCCAATTCTTGATCGAAAAAGGCACAAAGATTGACAACACCGATGATACCACACGTCCAACAAAAAGGTACCCTTATACCCAAATTTTATTAAATGGGGTGCAAGGATTTATAAATGAATAAATTAAAACTTACTACGAAGGCCCAATCCTCTCCAGCACTTTCTCTGAGTGCCATGGAACCGCTGCCCGAGATCTTCACGAGTAGGGAAGAAGTAAGCAGTGGAAAGCAATGGATGCACAAATGGCCAAAGGTTAATTCAGATCAAGATAAATATATATTGAAATCAAGCTTCGGTGAAAGAAAATAAAAAGGCAATAAAATATGGTTAATGTATGCAAATGAAAATAAAAGCAAATTAAAACAATGGAGAGCTTTTTAATAGAAACTATATTTGGAAAACTACTTAAATTTCAAATATTATGATTTTAATTTGGTTTTTACTCCAATATAGATTAATATCTCTACTAGTTGGTTTCAGTGCTTGTTAATTTGAAATGCACAGTGATGGACTAAAAATAAATTGTAATTTTAAAATTCAGTGTGACTTGAAATGTGAAATTTATTGACAAAAACATCAACCACTTGATAAGCACTTTCTCTCTCCACTATCACGTGATATAAGCAGTGCAGTGTAGGATCTTTCTATCAAAATGTGTTACATTCCAGTTGCTCTGCGGTACTTCATAGCCTTTGATCACTAGAAAATTTTCACTGCATAAAACTTTGAAAATAAACATGCATGATTAAATAGAGGTGATAAATAGCTGCACCACTCATAATAAATAATATTTGCATGATTCATGCAAGCAAGAGCAAAGCATGTAATAAATAATACTGCAATCATTCTTGCAAAAGATGCATTTCATAATTTCTCTAGCTTTTTTTCTCAAAGAAAGATGTCTATTGAAGTATGCTCTGCAATATTTAATACCTTTTTTTAGACTGAAAAACTAATTCAAGGCCATATGAATATATATTTCTTTCTTAATTAATTACCAAAGTATTAAAGCTATCCACTAAGAGGTACAAAACTATAAATGAAACTATGAATGAATAATATTCTAAGAGAAAATCCGGTTAAGCAGTTAAGTGGCCTCCCAATTGGTATGAACGGTAAATTCTAACTATATTATTTAAAGGAAAAGTGGGAATGGGTGTATGAAAGTGTTTAATAAACAGTGAAGGAAATTAATTAAGGATGTGTATATTTTGAAAAATCATTGAAATTTAGTAGGGCCTTTATTAAAAATACGTTGAGATTCTACTTTCAAATTATGGCAATGGAACAAAAAGGAGAATGGAATAGAGTTCAGATTCGATGTAGTATATTTCAATGCCTATCTTATACTTTCATGTGGGGGGGGGGGGGAATGAAAAAAATTGTCAGGATCTCTTTTCTCAAGTCATTGCATCATGTGATACTAATTAATAAGGACAAACAAATCTCATTACTAACAGATTACAACTTGTTGCCCTTGGCAATGACTTCTTCCATTATTTCCTCCGATTACATTAAAGTTCAAGTTGTACCTCTATTCTACTAAAAGTAAGCATTATTTGAATTACATGAATGCCATACCTAAATATATCTTGCAAACATATTTTTTATTATTTCATAAAATTCTTCTTTTTTATCATGCATATTGGAATTATGACAAAACTCCTTGCTTGCAAAGGAGTGTTTAATACATAGGCTAGTACACTTACTTCACCGATTGGGCAATGTTCTTCTGCCGAGTCTGCACTGTTAGTGATAATAATCTGTTGGATATCCCCCTAGAAAAAACAATAACACAAGTACGGAAAGATGTTAATAACTAGATTATATTGCTCATCAAATAGCATTATAATTTTTATTTTTAAATAGCAAACTGACCAATAAAGTTGGCTTCACTCAATGTTTAAGTGATATGATGAAGTTGATCATACTTACTTTTAATTGGTTGCTTACAAACAAACATTAATGCTTTTTTAAGTTTATCTACAAACTATAAAGTTTGGCCAATAAACTGAAATATGTTATGGCTCAATCTAAAAATATTGTTGGGTAAAAAGTAAAAAGTAAAAAGCCAAAAAAACATATTTTGGTCCAGTTGTTCATTTTCCAATTTTGTGGTAGATAGATAGAGAAATATTATAGAGGATCCAAAAACTATCAATCTTAATGATACAGATGACTTACAGATTGAAATGTGCTGTGTAGATGAAGTCAAATTAAAGGTTCAAACTTTATTCAACAAAATGTACAACTATTAGCCATGCATCATTTGATGTTCTTCTGCCTCTTCTCAACAAAGGCGTCTATTAAGATAAGCAAAACTACACACCTCCCGTACAAACTAGGAGGGGGGGGGTTGATTTTTAAAAAAATGGTGCTCCATTCCCCCCCCCCCCCCCCCCCCCGCTTATTCGCAGGCTTATTCGCAGGCTGATTCGTCGCTAAATATAAAAATGAAGTGCTCATTACCCTTTTCGGGTTTAGTCGCCTTCCTCCCTCGCAATGCCCATCTCTCACCTCTGGCTCAAAGTTGTCAACCCTAACACCGCCCCCCCCCCCCCTTAGAAAAAGCTTGTACAGGCTTGCTACACTAATTACTTACCCGATATTGCACCCGTTCTCCCACTGTTCCTAGATGTCCAATGAAAAGGGGAGCCATCTGTGGTATCCTGATGTGCCATCCTTGATTTTTATCGAAAAATTGCATACCAAGTTCCTGACAGTCTAGAAACAGGGTAACCTGGTTGTCCCTTATACTCAACGCCAGTTGCGTCCAATGGTTTGTGAAGGAAGGCACGAGAAAGGCTGCTACCTCTGTCGACTCACTGGTATAGTCTATGTTAGTAAGTATGAGGCTTATTCTCATCTGCTCTATAGACATGCTGGTAATGTTCACGCTGAGGATGATGGTCTGGTGGTAGGGGTCTGTCACACCAAAGACTGTACCCCTGCTACCGCTGTAGGGGCGCAGCAGCATCAGGATGGAGAATTCAGGGAAGTTGGCAGAGAAGTCTGTGGGCAGGATGATCTCAGCATGCCGGCCTGCGTTGGAGTCTCCTTCAAATTTGAATGCAGCGCCAGTCAGACCCTCTGTGAAAGTCACTCCATTAGGGAGGGGATGGCCAATGACTTGAAGTACATCTTGAGTAATCACATCTGAAAGATAGAAGGAAAAATGGTGGTTAGGGCAAAAGTAGCAAGAATTTTCAAGGAAGCGAAAATTATTTAATAGCAGTATTTCTTTAGCCCTGAGCAGTGTGTAAGAACAATTTATTCCAGTTTATTAACTCTGGAATCAAATTACCTATGATATACAATTTAATGGCTACATATGACGAAACTTAGCAGTAGTTCAATGAGTATACAAAACTCACATAAATTCCTTTTCTCCTTCTGAATATATATATCACTTCACTTCTTTCTTCATCCCCCTTTAAAAAAACAAATAGTACAAATCTTTCGAATGACATTTTCTTGCTTCTTTCTCTGATCATCATCATCAACTCCAACATTCCAAAGTCTGACCCATACAACTAAGGTCAAAGTTCGTGTCCAGTCTGTGTCTATAAAAGTCCATCCATTATCCTTTCTGACATTTTAATCAGCCACAACAAACATTTCACAGCCACAACTTGACAGTATCAATGGACCAAGCATCACCACATGGCGGAGATATCGGTCCCTTTGGGTCATTTTGTAAGATCCTTTTCACACTTGAAACTTATCACAGCCACACTGCGACAATATAAATGGACCACACATCAGTAATAGTGTAGAGATATTAAGTACTTTCCTCAATTCCATTCACACTTGTAACTAATCTGACAGGGACCTTCAAAACATCTTAAAATGCTAAGATAATATTACCAGTATTTCATTCTAAGCTTCATTCTGGAATATCAGAATATGCTCACTAAGGAGATTACTTAAAAGAGGATCAAACTCGCATATTCGACATTACAAGCTTATATCTTGAACACATGAAGCCAGAATAATTCCGCCAATCTTACTGCAATAACATCTAGAGTCCAAACAGGGCTTCACAACCACTAAGCCTTCCTCCTTCTCAATCAGACAGTCACTGACTCCCTGACCTGAGTTGACACTAAATACTATGGCCTGAGGTGAAAGGTCGTTCAGATCCAGGCCTTCTAGGAATGGAGATGGTGTTGGTTTGTTGATAGAATCAAAGAGCTAAGATTTCCTCCTAATCCTCTAGAGGCCCAAGTTCAGACATTCGCTTGAAACCTGAGCCAAAGGGGTCATTACTGGTCTTGAAAGTCATGTATAAGCTCTTCAATCATTTGTGATTACAATTGTCAAATTTCAAACATGCCTGACTTGTGACTTTTTCTCCTTCAGAGAATTATATTGCCTTTAAATTCTCTGTCCAGTGCCTCTAGCCCTTACAATGCTGTAGGTAATTTAAATCATGATTTTTTTTCATACTGCACCTACTACTGTTTTAAAAAGAAAAAATAATTCTTGAATTCTATATACAATTACATTTTTCTCAAATGGCCTCTTCACAATACTTAAAAACAGCATTTACCTCTATCTATGGGTTAAAATCTCATATTAATACAACTCACAAAGTATATGATGAATTCAAACAATAGAAAAGCTGTCTATTGGGAGCCAGGGGTGCACCGACTTATATAAGTTACCGGTACCACATAATCAGCGCCCTTTAGGTGATCAACAGATTGAGAGCCACCTCAATACAATACACTATCTAGGCAAGATATCAACATACTGGGCAAGCCGGTGAATGGTTCAGTGACCTATCCATGACCCTTGCTGCTGGGTGAGATGAGGGTCAATGAATTAACCACATCACTGATATGACAATCTCATTCATAGTCTGGTTAATTAATTTGACCTGGCTCTACCGTGGAGTAGGCAGTAGTGTTTCCGAAAAATGGACTGAAGTCTGAGGGGTTTGACATGTTATGGCAGATGCTATGATGGTACTTTTAGATATTAAGGTTACCGATGTTTTATCTATTATCCTCCCCCTTCTTCCCTGTGTGTCATATTTATGGACAAATATATACATTGATAATTTTGATATGACTATTCATTTGAACCTCTTTATATTCTTATTTTGCCATTACGTGTACATTAATGATAATCCGAAATTGCAGATTTGATTCTCCTTGTGTAATTGCATATCAGTTACATGTATACATGGTTGATTTTCAAGTTTCTCATTTGTAACATGTTTTGATTCTTCTTTTGCTATTTCTTGTACATGAATGATAATCCCAACCAGTGGATTCTGTTCCAATAAGTTGATTTGATTTGATATGATGTATACACAAACACAAAATTGCATCTATAGGAAGGGGGGGAAGTGATTTGATGTTTCAATACCCTTGTTACTCTATTGCATGATGGTTATCCTCATCAGGAAAATTTAGTGGCTTTCACAATGAAGGGCAAAATTTTCAAGAGAAAAAAAAGACCATGAAACCCAATTCATTGAAAAGTTACAAAAAAGAAACAAAATTAATCAAAAACTTTTCAGTGTAGTAACTGGGTCATGACCATGTTCCTATTGAAGGGGAAACTGATAGTATCTAAAAAGGGAGGGATCCTACTTTGTATGATTTCATAATATCATGCAGTCATTTCAATTTATGCAGAATTCATACACATGCATGGGATTACCTGCCAATGGTAAAAAATTGAGGGATTATCTACCCATTTACACACTAAGCTAGCTAAGTTTGTTCAAAAGGGGGGTTAATCTGCACCCCTATGGTGACACAGAGCATGCTACCCTAGCTAAGTTAGATAGAAAAGGGGGTTAATCTGCACCCCTCTGGTGAAACATCAGTCAGGTATCTTGGCACCAGCCACAGGTAAGCTCAGGTCTGCCATCCCATTATGGTCATTAATCCCCTTGGATCCAAAGAGATTAAGGATAGATTACAGACAGGAAAGGTCAAATGCGATGAAAAGTGAAGACACTCTGCTGATCTACTATTTGAACAGATATTTTTTGGTACCCTTTCTGAAAGCCAGATATTGTTGTGACTGTGTAGATGGTCATTTATCAAATATGAAATTCCTTTACAATCTTTACAGAGATAAATCAAACTTTTGAAAATGTAGATAGGAACCATTAGATCTAACCTTCAGATAAAATTCAGCAAAATCTAGTATTCATTTATGAATCAAAGAAAATTGACAGGAGGAGAAAAGGATTATACAAGCAGGAGATTTGATAAGGCAGGTTCACTTATTTATCATGATACAGAGAACGATTTAGCCAGGAGGTATACTTTGCAGAGAAACAACTTGGATATCAGCGAATCACCATCAACCAAACAAATTTCTCAACACATATATAAAGTGCATTTAGGTTTTTCTTACAGGTACAGTTTCCATCCTATACAACTAGGACAAACCAAATACATCCCACACAACAGGAGAACAAAGCTTGAAAAAATGTACATCTTGCACTGAAACCAGACATGATATCATGCTCTCGGGCAATAATAGTTTGTGCTCACACAGATATATAATTTCAGTCACTTTCACATAGCAGGTCTTTGTAGCCACTTGCAATTTAGACAGAGAGATAGCTCAAAAATATTCTCTTATTCACCTCGAGGTCAGGATGGGTCGCATCCTGCTGATCAACAATATCTATTCTCTACTATTTGTCCTCCTACCTCAGACTACGCTATCGCCTACCAAATCTTCCACTTTACAACTTGTCACGGATCAACAAGGGACCACTCATCCACAGGTTTACAGCTCACATAATCTTGAGCAAATATACACATGTACTCTACAAATGTTGAAATAAACACTTCACTTCTCTCTCTGCAAAGTAATAAATGCTCATTGAAATGTAATTACACGGAGATAAGGCTGGAACCTCAAACACGGAGAGCCAAGTGTCATATTTGGGCACCGGATCACCCGCTGACCTTTTACTACTTACAATCTTCAGACTGTCTGACAAATTTCCCTCCACGAAATAAAATTGGTTTGGAGAAGGTGGGGGTTGGAGTTTGGACAGTCATAACAACTGCATAACTACCAAGAATTTTTGGTTGTAGCACTAAACTTGCAATTAAAGGTGCACTTTACATAGGTTTTACTGTAAATTTTAAAAAGATATCACACATCATATCAAAATTGTTGACCACAACTTTTAGTTCCTAAAGTTAATACCTTTCAACAATATCAAAGCAAGTAGCCAAACTATATTTTTATATCATTTTGCATGCAAGTGTAGACATGGTAATACTTCTTTCATGTAGTTATTTGCCTCCAAAATACTGTATCTACTCATAACCATAGTCTGAGATAATTATATACTGCTAATAACTCTGACTTTAGGGTATTTTATTCTCACTTTGAATTGGAAAGCTTTAATGATATAAATAACAGAAATCATACTAAAGCAAGTAGACAGAAATATACAAGTTAGTCCAATGATGGACCAATGAATATAATTAATTAAATCCCAAAAGTGGATTATTGGCATCCCTTGGCAATAAGAGAGTGGGCAGAAGAAAAGAAGGCCTATATTTGGCCAAGACCTCCTTGGTCAAAACAAAAAAGGTAATAAACCTGTTGCTATTTGTTCACCCTGTTAAAGTTACAAAGTTTCATTTTTCTGATTGATCTAAGGTTAATAGAATCTATTTGACATTGACAACAGGGAATTACAAAGAGCATGTTTACAATACTTCAGATTTTATCAGCGATTTCAGCATTTGGGAGGGGAAATATTTAGAAACCTTGATAATTATGTGAAGTGACTTGTAGGTTAAAGCACAGAATGTTGCAACTTCTCTTCAATGTACCAGTATGATTATTCTGCGACCAAGGTGTGGATACAGCATAATTTGTGATCATTTGCTTGAAAATGTTGTCCTCTACAATGCCACAATTGACATTGCATAGAAAAGTACTTGTATGTCCAATTTTTTGTGGCATTTCAATTAATCGTATTAATGACAATCCTTGATATCAAGGATAAGAAAATTTGTTGAGCAACAAACAGGATGGTGAAATTGATTCATAATCTTCAATTTTTTCCCCTGACATGCTAACCCTCTATAAAATCATATTTTTGTGCCTTCATTAATACCAATTTGGTCCATTTTGATATGTTTACTTCTGGAATCATCTTTCGTGTGTTCATAATCTAGATATCACTCAATACATCTAGTTATAATGAACCGCCCATTCATCTGAGTAGGAAGATGACAATGGAGTAGTCCAAAGCGAAAGAAGGCAGCCGTCAT